ATAATTAACGGGTTCCTACCACAATTATATATTTATTTATATATGTGATAGTAACTGCTATATTGATTTTCATAAAAAGGATATGATCATTGAATATTGTACAATCAGTCCGATATTTGAATCGTAGTATTAAGAATAAAACTTATACGCGAATTTCCATGAACCTTTTCTATGTATAATATTAACTATTTTGATACATGACTGTAATTATTTGCATATACCTACTCGTAAGTAGGTCGTGCAAGTTTCCGTTTATACCTCAAGTCAACAACTAGTTTTTCAATTAAAATTTCAACAACTAGGAACCAACTGTCGAGGCAATGTTTTCCTAAAGTTTAGCAACATTTATATTTTATTTACCTGAAAGTCGGTCGAAGTTTTTTTTTCTTTTTGTAAGAAACAAAATGAAATTACATATTATAATGTTTTGTTCTTAAATTATTGTATACTATTGGCGACACGGAACCTCTACATTATTATTTATCTAAAGAGTGATTTCAATCGTATAAATGTTCCTATCATTAATACGATGTAAATGCCCAATCAGTAATTAATAACATAATCTAGCTTTGTATATATACATTTAAAATTCAAGCTATCCTTCGTCTTTGTTTATTTCGTACTTTTTATGTAACTTAGAATGACAAACAAGCTGATGAAAGTTGAAACTTAATAACAATGCAATATATAACTTTCTTAAAAAAACCTCCTACAAAGTACATACAACTTATGGGATCGAAACGGGAATATTTCGATTGAAACAGAATTGTCAAAATTTATTCAGAATTGGGGATGATGTCGCATACCTAATTGTACATAAAAAAAATAGAGTTGAATATCAAATCTTCTATTTTGCAGCTAGTTGAAAAGAGCTTTTTTACAGTCAATAACTTTTAATAGTAAAGGAAATATCGTGAATACAATTTATCGAGACAAATGCCAAGGTTATAATGATGAAATAAGAAAATTGTTAAATTTCGTATCTCAGATTCTTTGGAAATATTAAATTAAGCACGCATCGGCAGCAAACATAATACGGGGTAGGTACTTGGTGTACATCTGAAGATTTTTTGCTCGAGAAACTCCCGTGAAAGGCCGACAGTAATTTGGGAAACAAGACGTTGCCAAAGTAAGGGCCAATGTCTACAAAAGCATTGATGTGTAGAGTGGGGATGTTTAATAAGAAACCAATAGGATTTTCATTATTTTTCTGTATTTTAACGTTCAGTATCATTCATTTACCCGTTCATGTTTTTGAATTTATTATTATTATAAACCTACCTAGTTATCACGCATTGGTAACAATTGAGAACTATAAATAATAAGTAATTATATCATAATACCTAGTTTTTTTTTAAGTATTATTTTATCTCTACATAGTGATGAATAAAAATAATATATATTATGTTATCACTCCTTTTCAATTCCATATGTTATTAGAGCGATTAAGTTAACAAAGGATAACATATCAGTAAAAGAAAAAGAACACTCTATATCCAGTTTTCCAATAAACATGGTAAACTATAATATCCTCCTCTTATAGGAAGAAACCACCAACGAGATATCTTTAGATCCCAATGTTGTCCTTTTTCACCATCTTATATCCTTTTCAATTCACTATATTTATAGTCAAATTCAATCATTCCAAGGTACAATAAATGATTTTTTTTTATTTTCCTAAAGTGTATAATGATATTAGTAAGTACATTCCGCCAACCCCTTAGTTATATGAGTACAAAGTTAATATTCAGGTAACGAGTACTAAATTACCTAATTATATCTCTATGTATATTTAAACTTGCAGGATATGGCTCAGGAACTCAGCAACGGAAATCCGCCTGTATGCGTCATTGTTTAATTTCATTATTATTGAGGAAATAAACGAACTTTTAATATTATCTGCATTATAAAGATAAATTGCTTTTATTTTTCGTTTGGGTTTTTTCTTAATAACTTGTGAATATATCGAATTGTGAAATTACAAATTTAACCAAACGTTGTAATCTATAGGAAAAGTAATAACTTATAAAAGTGGATGAAGCATGAAATATACATATATATTCATAAAGATAAGAGAGTCTCTAAGGGAATTGGCCTAATGGTATATAAGGTGTAATATAAAATCTTTATTTTCACAATCAATATAATTTAGTTAGAGATATTTCTCTACACACAGAGTTCACTATCATTATAAGAGGAGAATCTTTTAGTGACTTAAGGTCACCTTTTGTGTAATTTTTTCCTGTACCGTTATGTGTCTGTATATATTACTAGCGTTTGCAATAAAGTATATAAACTAATCCTTACTAATATTAAAAATGTGAATTTGTTTATTCATTTGTTACCTTATAGCGCCTTAACGGCTTAACCAATCGCTATGAAATTTGATATAAACGTAATATTTAGAGACAGTCAACATATTACGTTTATGCTAGCAAAGTCGCGGGTAAAAGTTAATGAGGGTGTCGTATATTTTGCATCTTCTTTTTATAAAGTTGGTAAAAATCTTTCTAACTGAGATGTTAAAAATCCACTATACACGTTCTTTGGGCATCAGCAACATGTAGGTACAATATTTGAGATATTTTCCTGTCGAGCAACGTCGGTAAAGTGGAAATTCCTATCGTGTTTCGCTGGACTCGCCGATTGAACATATAATGTTAGTGGAAAAATTAAAAGCATTATTTGTATCAGTAAATCTATATTTTCAGCCATTATTAAATTAACTTATAAATTCAAAGAAAATAAATAAATGAATAAATGATAATAAATGGATGTTGGAAAAGCCATATTTATTATTTATTTTATATATTATTTATTATTTATTTTATTTATTTTTATGGGTTTTCTTTTCTAATTGAAAATGTTGATCCTATATTAACTTTGACAAGATTTATTTCTGAAACTGTGTGAAGTGGTTTTGTAATGATTATAAGACGGGGCAAAATAAAAACTAGCGATAATACTTATAAATCCGGACAACTTTCCTCAAGAAATTTAATATAAAATCACCTGCATTGCGCCTATGAATGCTCAAATTAAATTAATTAAAAATTCAAATATTTTTTCACATTTACATAATTTGAACCATGGAAATAATTTCTAACATAAAAGGTTATATTAAATAACTCAATTATTATATTGATCATGTGATCGCGTGGTTTGCTATAAAATATATAAAAAATACCTATTTGAACCTCTCATGTATAAACAGACATCAGTTCGGGAATTATTTTACTAATATAATACAATTGTAACTAGATGATGTTTGTAAATGGAAGGTATTTAAGAAATATTAATATGAGCGGGCGTAATAAGACCAGTAGAAGTTAAATAAAACAAAATTTTAAAAACGATATTTTTTTAGAAATTTCATCTGTGTATCTATTTATTCCGACATCACCCAAGAACCACTGTAGAAAATTGGATGTGACTTGTACAATTATGTCCCCAAAGTTCTAACTTAAAATGTATATATATACGTTTTATTTTGATACGCCATCTAGAAATGATCTATTTCATTGATTTTCCTACTCCACGCATGATAAAAAGCTAGTTCAGATATAAAAACAGATATAAACATTTTATTGAACTTCATACGTCTGTTGTTTTCAACAATTATATTTCGACGTGGACTTAGCTATAAAAACAACATTGTTTATTTCTAAATCCACTGGTTAATTTTCTCATTTAGTGTGCTTATTCAGAAATTACAATTTTCTTAAGTACTGCATGTATAAATTCGAAATGTTATTGTTATGTTATAACAACAACGTTTCGATAACCTCTGGTATTCCTACAAATAATTGTTTTATATACAATCATTATAATGAAACAGATAAATAAAACAGCATTCCGCGGGCGGTCGATATTTAAATATTCAATTATAATAAAACACGCTTAACAACCCAATTAAATCACACATTATTAGAACGTCGTATCCTATGTAAATAATTAAATACATAGAATTAATAATATAATGATCATATAAATATATGTGTACCCCCAAGTTTTATTTGTGAAAATTATAATTTGTTAATATAATTTTAAGATATTTTTTATGTTTTATTAGTATTATACTTTATATTTTGAATTTATATCAAATATATTGAAAATAAAATTAAAAACAAAAGAGGCGATATAAATTAATAATCGTCTATCTATCTATAACCTATTCTGTCATTATACACATATGTAGGTTTCGCGCGTTACCTACCTAATTCATTACATGTATGTATATTACATAAATTTAGCAATTAATGGATATAAATAAAATATATACGATCAATAAAACAATAAAGTATCATTATACTTAGATTCAATGTATGATATTTTAAAACAAGTTCGTCGCCCTTTACCCATGGGTTTCGGTAATGAAATACCTATTATGACATATTTAACACGTTAACCAACAACATAACAAGTCACTATCATTATTACGAACGACTCATTTAATAGATAAAACACAAAACATATATCGAAACTTGTCAAATAAATCATCGTCTCTCGCGGTAGACATTTCTCCGATTCACAATAACTTACAATACTTCGTTAAATTTTATCTCAATGTAAATATAAACGTATACTTTGGTTTGACAACATATCTGGTATCATTGTCACATCCCATCTAATTTATTGTCATGATTTGTTAATAAACGATTGTATATAAATGCATTACACCAGGAAGTCTACTCAAATGTCGTAAGTAAATAATTTGTGGTTACCAATGAAGTGATAAGACAAACAAAATATAACGGGTCTTTTAACAAAGTATGTCTATAATTCAAGTAAACTTGATATTTAAAATCATTTATGTATATTATTGTCAGAAATAATGTACGCTATACGAAATAACAGAATTGACCGCTTCATTTTATGATCTATTATTATGATAGGAACCCAATATCAAACCATATATTAAATCTACGTACATTTATACGGCTGGTAATAACTTAGTTGCTAGAAGGGTTGACAGAAACAGTAATTATGCAAACACATACCTTATATCCACATAGAAGAGCGTGAATTTTTAATAATAGTCCGTTCGAGGTGCAAATGTCATTTAGTAATTAATGTCAATGACCACTTATTTTTTTAAAGTCCACAGAGTAACACATACACGTGAGAATCCAGTTCTAAGCACACAATACACAAATGTCCCTAAATTAATTAGTTTCAATTTATGTTAATTATTTGGATCGAGCGCGTAACGAGTGGGAGAGAGGAAGACGAGACACACACTCTAAACGCGAGCCAAGCATCAACTGACTGCTGCCCGGTTGAACAATTGCTAAATATACACCCCCCGACGCTTCCCGCGCACCCTATGGGCGCAACGCGTACACCATGCAATTTTCTATAAATTTTCACATAAGCTCCGAAGCCGCGCTGTCAAAAGATGTTTTCACTGAAAACGTAGGTGCAACCGATGTAATTGAATTATTCGCGTAAAGATGGGCTTTTTTTAAATTAAAATTGAGTTACGCATTTTTCTTATGTTAGATATTTAAGTAATAAGAAACATGTCATATGAAAATATTATACAATCTAATTGCATCGACATTTATGAAATAAGAAGGAGTAGGTTATTATAGTTTTGACTGAAGTCTTTAGTCGCAGCTACACGAAACGAATGACATTTTTTCTTATGCGACATAGAATGGCAAACAAGCTGATGGCTCACCTGATGGAAAGTGATAACCGTCGCCTATAGACATAAGCACAGTACTATGGACATAACAGAATATACTGTTTAGCCCATGATACCCCCCCCCCCCATGCATTACCATTCCTGAGGACTCAGGTGTTATTGCTCTGTACCCTGTAAATTCACTGTCATATCCAACTATATAACTAATTTCAATTAAAGAATAATAATATTAATAATTAATTCCATCTGCTTCGAGTTTTTCCAATCACACAAATAATTATTGGAATATAATATTTTCAAGTCACATACATTCGTAAATTCATTTGTTTTGTTTTTTTTTTTTTATTAAAATGTCAATTTAATCTAAATTAGTTTTATCTATTTATTATAAAACTCTAATCAACTAATCACAAAATCATCAGACTTTTTAATACTATAAACGTAAAAGTACCATATATGCTATACAATGAAAGACCGTATTTATATTGTTATTGTCTACATTATAAAGTAATAAGTTCAAGAGTCGAGATCATATAAGTTGTACAGAGTTCTTTGAATTTGAATATCTTGTGAACATAATATTGGTCAATAAAAAAATTAACAATTGAATTATGAATATTTTTGTAATCTAATATAAAATGGTTATCGATAAAATAAAAAAAATAACCTAATATTCTAAATGAAAAAGTGAGTTTGTATGTTACTTGTCAACGGCTTAACCAATTATCATGAAATTTGATATATGTATACGTACTATATGGGATAGAGAAGCTTATTGATTACTTTTATCCCGCTTAGAGAACAAATCCCAATCACGTGAATGAAGTCACAGGTAACAGCTTGTATATAGGTAATAAAATTTAAAATATAATAAAAGTTATCAGTTTAGTAACCTTGACTTATTAACTTGTAGTATTTGTACGAAATTGATTAAAGATCGTTTTCGAAAATCAAAAATACACGAAAAGCACAACACGAAATATTTTAATCCTTTGAGTAAAATATTTCATGACTCATTAGTAAAATTATATGGAATAAATACTAATAGAAAATTTCAACTTCGTGAATTTGGTTATCGACTAACTCGACGAGTCTAACTAGGTGAATCTACTTTTAATAAAGTTCAGTTCCTGCCACTACCATCGTGCTTTATTATTAGACCCTGGTCGAAACCGATGAATAATTCTCACATTTTTATAGCCTTCTATAATACTTAGAAGGGCAAATGAATTGCCAGCCCACTTGATTGAATTTTACAACCATCGCCTGTAAATACGAATATACACTATAGTATTATCATCATATTAGCCCCTAACTGTCCACTGCTGAACATAGGCCTCTCCCAGGGGGGTTTAGTCAATAGTTGTCACGCTTGGCATACAGGTTGACAATCGCAATTAGGTTTTTAGTGATGTTTTAAAAAGGACGTTATAGTATAGTCCAATTTAATTGAAATATAAAGGAGTCGAAACATAAATTTATTAATCTAAAAATAAGATGGATGTATGCATTTATTCATTGCACTGTAGTCCCGGCATAGGCCACCCCTTCCATTCCCATGGATGTGACTAAGGGGACTTAATGGTCGAAAGATGAGCAGCATCGTTCCTCTTAAAATATCCCCAAAACCTAACTATGATTGTCAATCCATCTGCCAAGCTTGGCAACTATTGCCAAAACCTCCATATAGAGGGAGATCTGTGTACAACAGTGAACAATTTACGACTGATATAATGATGCATTAATTCATAACACATGTAAGTGTAGATATAAATGTACAGCTATTTTTTTAAAAATTATATTGCTAAAATATCTACATCATATTTGAATGGGACCACTTTAATTTTAATTGATTTTACCTTTTTTGAAACATTTAAATTTTTAACAAGTATCAAAAAATTTACAAAATATCTGTAAATAGGGAGAGACCAGCAACCCATTCATTATTATATAATAGAGAATGGGTTACTAGTAATAGTAAAGATTTTCTTAATTTATTGATCATATTAATAGAACTCGAACTATGTTATTCGCAATATGTTTGATTTACACTACACTAGGTACTATATATATAGAATGTTAAAAAAACGAAATTCATTCCTTAAAATCCTTCCTTTTGACACCCTATTAATGAATACTAATACTAAATTATAATTCATTAACAAGGTCTCAAAATACAACGCACTATATTTTCGTACCTAATACTGTATAGTGGGGGGAAAGGATTGTTAGTAATGGAGACTAAGAATCCTATTGCTAGCAATATACCTAACCAGGTCGACCTCTACGCGGTTCTCTCTGGAAACTATCATGGTAATTCTTGATGAATTCATCATGATGGGCTAACTGACCTGTTTTCATTCTCATCAATCACCCTTCACTGGTGCCCCGCCTGCGTATACCGTAAGCGCAGGCGGGGTTGCCATTCCATTTTTACCTATAAAAAAAACTGTATAGTACCATTAGTACGGACACAAGTTGTTGTTTCTTTTTTTCAAAAAATTTAATTATTTTTTTAGTTTTTGAAAATTAAGTAATTAAAAGGGTATTTTGTAACTTTTATAGTTAAAAAATACCATATTAATGCATACTAACACTAGTTTTAAGAAATAGATTTCGTTGATAAACATATTTTATAATAGAGGTATATTTATATTAAAGCATAACATTTGTAATTTTTAAAGTACTTAGTGATAATTGATATATTTCTTTGAAATCATTATTTGAAGTAAAGCAAGTAACCCTGTTTTGTTATAAGTCTCTTCATTGGTTTCCTGGAACGCTGGCGTCGTCACTTCGTTATACCAAATATTATAAGATGTAACAATCAGAAATCAAGCGATAATATTTATGGAATTGAACAATTTTCTGTAAGAAATATGAATCGTAACGTGAAATAGCACTTTAACCAGAACTCTCTCCCAAAATCTGTCCCAATTGTCTCTGTTTCTTTTTAATGAGTGATAATGAAATGGTTACCCCACACCTGCGCTACCGGTATACACTGGCGGGGCACCAGTGAAAGATGATATGTGAGGATGAAGCAGGTCAGTTAGCCCTTCGTTATGAATTCAACAAGAATTATTCATGACGGTTTCCAGGGGGAACCACGTGGAGGTCGACCTGATAGGGTATATTGCTAGCAATGGGACTGGTAAACTCCATTGTTAACAGTCCCTTTCCCCCCATCGTATTTCTGTTAATAAGGAGACAGACTTACATATAGCATTGTACCGGCATTTTTTTTTACGTACTTGCATAACCGTGTTTTATTTTGAAAGGCAGTATATGATAGTTACATTTTAGATTTAAAAGGCCGGCAGCACACCTGCAATGCCGCTGGTGTTGTGGGTGATCATGGGCGGCGGTAGTCACTTACCATCAGGTGAGCCGCATGCTCGTTTGCCCCCTGTGTTGTAAAAAAAAAAAAAAAGATAGTTATTTTTCATAGTTACATTACATTACAGGGCACAATACATACGAGGTTTGTCCGGAAAGTACGTATAAAAAGTTTTTTAAAAATTTTATTTTACAATTATTCAGGTAAATCAATTTTATCCCCTTCAAAGTACTCCCCCTGTGACATAATGCACTTGTGCCAACGCCGTTTCCACTGTGAGAAGGCTCCTTGAAAGTCCTCTGGTTGTATTTCTCAGCTGCCCCGTCGTAATCTCATTTATGTCCCCCAAATGCCGCCCCCGAAGTACCAATTTGGTTTTTGGGAACAAGAAGAAGTCACACGGGGCCAAATCCGGCGAATATATAATGGAATTTTTACTCAAAAACTCACGGAACGATCTTGGCGCAAATTTTTTTCATTTGAAGTTCGTTTCTTAGAATTTCGTGGACCACGGTTTTGCCCAAATTAAGCTCTTCAGCCACCTGTCTGACCGTTAAACGACGGTCCCCATTAACACAAGTTCGAATTCTTTCCACGTTTTCGTCGGAATGTGAAGTGGAAGGACGTCCTGAACGTGGGTCATCTTGAACGCTTTCTCGGCCCTCTCTGAATCTTTTTAGCCACTTGTGGACATTGGTTCCTTCACAGCATCATCCCCATAAACTGTTCTGAGATCGGCAAAAATTTCACGGCCATTCTTGCCGAGTTTCGAGAGAAACTTGATTACACGCGCTGCTCTTCAACAAGCGGGCTCCACAAGAGGTATATGGCGTGACAAGCCAGTATTAAGCATTGTTAGGGACATAAGGAAGGGGTCCTGCGCTATCCTACGATTTTTTATACGAACTTTCCGTGATATTACTAATCCTACGATTTTTTTCGTATATAAAATATCCTATGTGCTAATTTAGGATGTAACCTAACCTAGTAATAAATTTCATTCATCTGTTCAGTAGCTTTTACATGAAAGAGTAACAAACATACATCTATCAATTCGGCCAACCACCCATCGTTACAAACTTTCGCATTTATTATATTATAATTTATAGAATAGTACCTGTGGCACACACATTGTGGTAAAAACGCATTGACACTATAAAAATTACTAATCTAACCTGTTACTATTCATTGATTTGGGACAGTAATAAAAAAAACACTTTTTCGTTGATTTAGACGAAAATTAAATAATAAAAAATCAAGCATAAATAATAAAAAAGTATTTTACCCACATATA